TATGATGTAATGAGACTCGGGTGAAACCGTGGCGAGAAGCACCAACATCAGCACTGCCTTCTTGGGAAATAGGATTAATTCTGAAAACTGGAACGAGAATCAAGTTCTGCGTCTCAGGGAAAATGGTTAGAGATGGAACTTAAAGGTACATCAGTACATTTTAGAAAGCGTCTGTATTGGAAGCAGTACAGGTCCAATCCAGCTTGGCTTGTATAAAGGTAAATCTTTATTCTCTTCCGACCTAGTTTCCTAAGCACACGCAGTTTCTGCAAATCTCTGCAAGAACCACGGGTAACCTTCACCACTAACAGGACACCAGTGCTTTAGGAGCTCTGGTATTTCACAAGTTATCATGAAGTTGCAATGAACCAGTGAGGAGGAAGCAAGTTTGTTTAAAAGTCCGTGTAACTTTCAAAGCATTTTGAGGCTCAGTCCTCAGCCACACTTTCTTCTGCTCTAACAACTTCCAGAAATTCTGCTCCAACCCCGGTTTCACACTGTGCTTGTCTCTACACATCTGTAGCCCAAAGAATTTATAATCCATTTAGGGAGATTAAAAAATAAAGGAAAAAAAAAAAAGCAAACTCAGCAAGCATGTTCCAGAAGTCTCGCACAGCACGCGCGTTTGTGCAGCCCGCGTCGGGGATGTGTCCAAACACGGCAGCGCGTACGAGCCGCCAGGGGCTGTTTGGGGGGGACCAGGTTTGGCCGTGCCCGTGGGCAGCCCCGCTCCCGGTGCCGCTGCCGCCCGGCCGGACACAGCGGCGGCGGCCGGAAGCGCAGCCCGGCAGCGGCGGCGGCAGCGGGTGCCCGGCGGGGCGGCGGCGCTGGAGCCGAGGAGGCCGGGACCGACGTGGCCGGCCGGGGGAGGCGGAGCCGAGGGGCCGCCGGGCGGGGCAGGCCCGCGCCGAGCCGCGGCTGGATGGCAGCGGCGGCCCGGGGCACGGCGGCGGTGGCGCACGGTAACTGCGGCTGGCGGCCCGGGGGCGCGGCCGGGGGCGGGGGTCGCCGGGCCACGGCCGCTCCGCTGCCGCGGGGAGAGGGGGGACGGGGTGAGCGGTGGCGGGCAGCGCCATACGCAGCGGAGCCGAGCCTGGCTGTGGGGGGATCCGGCCCGGCCGAGCGAGGGACAACTTTGGAAAAGACGTGGCGGGGAGCTCCTGGTGGGGCCGCTGCTGCCGGCAGCCGTGCCCCGGCCCGGCGGGACCGTGGGCTGCGCGCCGCCCGCTCCGGGGCCGCGGCTGCCCCTGCGCTCCCGGGGCCGCGTCCTCCTCGCAGCTGGCCCGGGAGCGGCGCCGGGCGGCTGCCGCTGCGGGCGTGCCCGGGGCTGCGAGCGCAGTCCCCGCGGGACGCAGCCTAGAAAGTTTTGGAAGTCCCTCCTCCGGCAGACGATGCCGAGAGAAGGGCTCAGCGCAGGGGCTGCCCCGCGGGACGCGCGGAGCGGCGGGGCCGGGTCTGCGCGGCCACAGTGGCACAGGGACCCCGGGCGGCAATAGCGCGCTGCTCCGGAAAGCTGCGTGAGCAGCGCTCATTACTAATTCGCCCCGCGGCAAATCTGTCTCGCTTCGCATCGCTCGGCGTTCCTCTAATGGAAAACCCGCGCTGTGTGTCCCATCCGCCGCGGTGTGAGAGGCAGTGACACGAGCGGGCCCTGAGAGCGGGGCCGGAGCCCGGAACGGCCCGGCGAGGGCAGCGGGAGCGGGGCGGGTGCCCGGCCTGTGCTTCGGGCAGCCACGGAGAGTGGGCTAGCGGGAGAGAAATCCCACCTAGCCCAGAGGGGATGAACGCCATTGCCTGGTCCTCAAACTTCCCTCTCATCCTAGCGACGGAAGGATGCGGGATGGGGAAGAAGTCGCCGTCTCCCAAACTCCGTTAGTGTTAAGTCGGCTTTAAATGCCTTCCTTGCCAGCTTGTAGGTTTGCCCCGGCTCTGTGATCTGTTCTGATCTGCGAGCCCATTGCTGGGAAGGCTGTGCATCCCCAGCTTTTAGCTGCGCACGCTGTCATTTGCAGAAATGTGAGTCGGTGCAGAGTGGTGTTTTAGAGAGGCGTGGGGCAAAAGGGAAAGGTCCCACCAGAGATGGGCAGTGATTCAGAGAGCAGGGATTGCTCAGGGAGTACTGGAGACCTTTTGTGCTTCTGCCGAGGTCAGGGTTTCCAGGAGGAATTCAAAGCTTTCCACAGGGCTAATGGAGGGAGGTGGCTCATGTAAAGTTTTTTGGCTGAAAATTGTGCTTCCTCCCTGGAAAATAACTTTTTTCCATTCCATGCAGTACTCTTTTGCAGCTGTAAGACCAGGCAACTGGCTTCCAGGGAAAACATTTGTAAAAAAAGCCTTTTAATTTTTTTTTTCCTTTCAACAACATTTAAAATTTAGTTATGTGGCAATTGCACCGAGAAAAGAAATTGTGTAGTCTGAGAAAGGCAGAATGTCTAGGAAGGGAGTAATAGATAGAGGCATGATCATCATGTCAATATTTCATTTTCTCTTTTCCAGCAGGTTTTTGCCTTGGCATTTTAATTTTGTCCATGTTTTCTCAGTCACTGCCTGCTACAAAGGTGCTCAGTGAGCCCTGTGAGATAGGAGAGGCCCTGAGAGCCTCATGGATCTCCTGGCTTGGTGTACAGCTTCCTCTGCCCCTGCTCAGGAGCATGTAAATGGCAAATTCTCATTTATTTGTTCTGTCTGGGCTGGAAAAACGTAATGGTTATTCCAGTCCTGAGGCAGTTGCAGGAGGAGCTGAGCAGACCTGAGGCAGACACGTGGTGCTCTGGACAGTGGTCACGGCCACCAGGTTGTGAATCAAGCACAGCTGGGAGCTGTGATCCCCAGTTGTCAAAACGGATAAATAAACGACCTGCTGGCTGTTTTTCTCCCAGGGTTGCATGCTCTTAAGTATGTGATAAGCCCTTCTTGAGAAAACACGTCTCCAAACCTGGTTATGCCTCTGCCTCATGACCAGAGATGTCTCTTGAGAACATGCAGTGCTTTCTCTAGAAATTTCTCAAGACATTCTCTGACTGAGTTCCTAAAACAGATGCTGTTGTCTAAAATTAAGGGTAGGTAGAGACTTCCTGCACCCTTTGGAACTGTTTTGGCAGGGTATTATTTTCCTCTTGAGCATTTTTTCCTTATGACTACATCTTCACTGCTTATTTTTTCCCTCTTAAATATTTGTCATAGGAGCAACCAGTTTGAATGTTTGAATTTAGAGACTTTGCTAATATACTAATGAGTTGGAGAAGCAAAGGGGCTGTAGAGATATAAAGTGCTGCTTTTTTTCTTTTTTTTAAAGCACGTGGTTATGATGTGTTAGGAACAAGGAAATGCAGGGAATATGCTCTGAACAATTAGCTGGACACAAAGAGCAGTTCAGGTTTGTCCTGGACAATGCACTGAGTTTCTCATAGATGTTTTATAAACAGGAGGAATTTATTGCATGAGATATGGGGTTGTTCCTGAGGCATCATGTAATGATGGTCTGGCTGCACAGGAGTAAAGAAATGTGCTGTTTTTTTCCTCATGTGAGTAACAGCAGAATAAAAACCTGTGAGCCACAGAAAGTTGACCAACACTAATGTGAGTTAGGGAAATCACTTTTCTACACCTTTATACCCATTTGTTTTCCACCACCATCCCCTTTTTGACAAACCTTATCCCTTTGGTGGCTGGAAGAGCCACATGAAGCCAGTATGCAAAACTTTTCTAGAGTCCTGGACAGGCCCTTTGTCCTGTGTGCTACTGCATCTCAGTCTCTAAGACCCTTTCAGGTGTCCCTTGGGCCTTTTGTGAGTTGTGAGTGTGGAGAATGGAATGCAAGAAATCGACCTGTTGAATCAGTTACAGTGTTTACTTTTCCAGATTGACTCTCAAAAGCTGTGACAGTGTTACAGAAGAGATTTGTGCTGCTTCCCATCATTGCTGAGCTGTGTTTGCTGCTTCTTCATGTATAGTTGTATAAAATCTGATTTATTTTTGGTATGTTCCTCACGAAGTTCTCAGTCATTTTATAGGTGTAATCCTATCCTAAAGGATGAGGACATCCATTAGGCCCACTCCAGGGTTGCAAGGAATGTAGGCCTGAAGGACTTCAAAGAAGGGATCTAATCTTTGCAATGAAATGGTATCTGCATCAGCTGCTTCTTTTTCTCAAAAAACCAAACCAAACCAAAACAAAACAAACAAACAAAAAAAAAACACCAAAAAAACCCAACCCCCCCCCAAAAAAAACCCCAAAGAAAAAAAATAATGCTGGAGATTCTGCATCCTAGATAGCCTGTTTCAGTTTATCTCCACTTTGGCATACTATGTATATTTGTTTCTTCATATTCAGACTAAATCTTGTTTACCATTTGAACTGATGTGGAAGAAGAGTTGAGCACTTTCCCCCTTTCTTGTGACTTTTAATGTATGCAGGCTGTTCTGTTCCTTTGGTGTTATCTTTTTAAGACTAAACACACCCAGGTCCTTCAGTTGTTTTTCCAGGTCATGCTCTCTACACTCTAGTTTTTGTTTCTTTCCACTGCAGTGTCTCAGATTTTTGCATGTGTTTTATGAGGAAGTGTATGTGGGGCTGGATATGGTCTGTTGGCTAAAGTCTCACCTGTGAGACCTACAGTGGCACTACTGCTGTGTCCCAGGATGACATTTACCCTTTTTGTAGCAACATAAGCCTGCTGGCTTGGAATTATTTTCTCAATCAGTGTGTGCTTTTTCTTTGTGGCATGTTGGAATTACTGTTCTGTCATTTCCATTTGATTCCACACCTGCTTCCCCTGCCCTTAGTGTACTGCTTTGTTTTGATCTTTACTGAGATTGGTTTGATAGTAGGTTATAGTTGGGTGGGTTCCTGCAGCCAGATCAAAACACTGCAATAAGATGCCCCAAAACCCTGAGCTGGTTTGAACTTGCTGTGTTGAGGGATTTTATTTTTTTGTTGTAAGAGAAAAGTGATAGCATTAGTGGTCCTTGCTCAACTAACCAAGCCAGTGTCTTCAGTGATTCCTTCTTGCATCCCTGCTCCTGATATCCATGGTCACTGTGCTTGGAGATTGATGTTCTTCAGAGAAGCCGTAGGACCCTGTCCCTTAATTTCTTTTTGATTGCTTTTGATTGCAGCTTGGCCTTCTTCCTGCAGTGTTTTTGTTCAGGGACTGAAATTGGCAAAGGGCCATGAGTTTAAAAAAGTAGTTTTTCCTGCTCGTTTGTTCTGGTGCTGGTCACTGGTGGAGTCTGGTGTGAGCATGGAGAGGAGATGCTTTATGAAGGAGGGGGGCACAAGGGGCAACACTGCCCTTTTCATCCACAGCCTTAGATTGGCTCCAACACCCTGAATTTTGTCTTGAGAATTTCAGGTCCCTTTCTATCTGGCTGTTACTTAATGCTTTGATATCTTTATCAATTTCTTATCTTATAGGTAACTACAAACTGATCATTTAATTTGATCAAGAGTCCTTCAGAGGATTGAAGTTACTGGTGTGTAACTTCTCCCACCTTTTTTTTTCCTTTTATAAAGGTAGGTGAGGCATGATGCTTCTCCAGCCTTCCTGTGACCTCCCCATACTCCTGCAAATTTTCAAACATGGTCACTGATGCTTCAGAGATTAGACTGGTTTCTTACATGCTTTCAGCATGCAGGTGAATGCTGTTATTACCTCTCAAGAGCTGTTTTGTGAACATTTGTTAGGTCTTTTTCTAACCCACCATTTTCTCCCATTTCCAAATTAATTTTGCTTATCACATTTCACTTTTTCTTCTGGAGATTGGAGGAACATTTGTACTTCAGTCTCTACTTCATTTGCTTTCCTTCCCTCTTTGTCAATGAGTGTAATTATTTTTCTCTTCTAACATGCCCTGTTCTCCATTTTTCTTGTGACTGCAGAGCTCTTACTAACAGCTGTGCTGATTTTGACTAAGAGACCATCTAATCCAGTATCCTTCTACAGAAGGATAAAACCAGGACAAGTAGATATGGTATTTTTCAAGTACTCTTCCATTCTCCAGCTCCCCTCATATCAGGGAATTTCCTGAGTCTAATGTGAGCTGTTTAACCATTAACAATCAATAGATTTGTCTTTCTAGTACTTGTCCTGTCTTTAGATGAATGCATGTGAAATTTTCCATCATTTTTGGAGAAGTGCTGTCACACAAGTTACCTGCTGATGAAGGGTCATGTGTGTTTTGAAGCTGACCCTCACTGGTTCCATGTGGATGGGTGTCAGCACTTGAGTCTGACGAGATGGTGAATAATCTACCGTGTTCCCCATATTTTTACCCCTCATAAGTCTACAGACCTCTGTTACTCTGTTGCCTGTCTTGCATCCTAAGTTGTCACAGGGGTGCTGTTCCATGGCAAAGAGAAGACTTACCTGGTAGCATCTCTGGTCAATACCTTTTTACTGGAGCCTTGGGGCACTGAAGGGCAAGAACAAGGGTACTTGGAGTCCTTGTCCAGCCCATCTGAAGGAAAATACTGAAAGCCTGATGCTTTCCCAAGATGTCTCAGTTTCATACACCTGTTGATAAACAGCCTCTCCTTCCTTTAGTGCTGTGTTGAAATCCAGAAGAGTTTTAGGTGTTCCTCGTGGGTGTTCATACCTGTGCTAAGACACTGAAGGGAGGGCTTGGTGTGGCCAAGGCTTTTCCTCTGGGATAGTGGAACAGGACTGTTTTCAGGACTGCTTTCCCCTTCTCTTTTTCAGCGATTGGCCAGCCCGGCTGAGACCACTTAGCAATGACAAAACAAAAACTGCTGCTTGATGGGACGCTCTCCTTGTTCCTGATCGTGGCCTGTGAAGCTCAGCAGCTCCCGAGGAGTCATGTTGCTGCTAGTTCTGGTTCTGTGTGTGACAAGGAGGCAGAGTCTTGGGGACACCTGTTCAGCAGTGAGAGGCTGGATGCTTGGATCTGTTCCCTCATCGGTTCCTTCATGGTGGGGCTGAGTGGGGTGTTCCCCTTGCTGGTGATCCCCCTTGAGACGGGAGCTGCGCTGCGGTCGGAAGGTAAACCTGCCAACTGCACTGCCCTTTCTGAAGCCAGCTGTCCTGGGATGTGGCATCAGCACAGTGGTGAACAGGACCTTGTCACACAAGTGTTGTTTTCTAAAACATGAAGTCTTTTTTCAGTGCCTTAGTCCATACCTGTGAATTTGAAAGGGAGTCCTGGATGGAGCTTGTACAAAGAGTTCTGTTTTTCGCCCTGCTTGGTTCCAGACCCTCCCACACACTGCTGTCCCAGCCAAGTGGTACAAGGGCTTTTTCTTGGACTCCATTTGGTTTGTGCACTCTCCTTCTAAAGATTGCTTTGCAGATGCTTCTGATTTGGGTTTCTTTGTGCAAAATCTCAGCTGGAGATGTTTTAGTCTCTGGCTGAGTAGTGATCAGTTTTTTTGCTTGTTTCTTCTTCTTTTTTTTTTTTAGCTGGGTCACACCGTTTGAAGCAGTTGTTGAGTTTTGCAATTGGTGGACTACTGGGAAATGTGTTTCTCCACCTGCTTCCTGAAGCCTGGGCCTACACATGCAGTGCAACAACAGGTATGAGAGCCTTAGGTGCCTGGAAGCAGCTTGTGCTGTGCCTGTTTTGAGTCTGTTCCACCTTGAAAGCCCAAGATCAGCCAGTCTGGGTCAGTCCAAAAACTAGTCTAGGCTGGTATCCTTTTTCAGATAATATATACAAGCAAATGCCTTGGGAAGAATGTGGGAATAAAAAAACCCCATACGTAATACTTCATCTTTGTACTCAGCAGTCCTCCCAAAACTTTGAAATTAGAGGCTTCCTCAGTTGCCCATGGTTTCTTTATGTTTAGTAACATGGAATGGTTTTCTTGTCTATCGACTTTTCCTGTCATGCCTTGGACTCCTGTAAATCTCTGTTGATTTTCTTTTGTCCCTTCTGTAAGGAAAGGGAATGCCTCTTTAACCTGATGGGAGGTTAAGGATGTGTATGTGGTCTGGTACATGAACATGTTCACCATCTTAGTTGGGGATCAGGTGCACCTTTTTAACAAATCTGTCTCAATAACAGTGTTACTCCTAGAACCTCTTTCTTGGCATCAACTGGGGCCCCTCTGTTGGATGCTTTGATTTATGGAAGGTCATGCATTGCAGTCTTTGCTCCATAAGAAATCATAGAACATTGTCTATAGAGCCACAATTAGGATTGGAGGCTGGGGCAGGGGAAGAAAAAGGAAATGGAGGTGACAGAAACTTGTGTTTGCCAGCAAACTAAACACTGAGTTGGTAAAGGCCTTGTGGTATCAGTGTAGCTCCTTCATCCCTCAAATAGCCAGGGTTGCTGAAACCTATAATGTTTGTATCTCTCTGCTTCAGCAAACTGGTATCATGGAAAGCAAGTGTTGCTGTATCTCACCTGTTGAGAAAGAAAGAAGTCATTTTCCTGCTGAAAATATGAGAGAGGGAAGATGATGCCCTGGGTTTCCCAGACTTTCTTGCACCTATGTCCTGGGGTTTCAAATCTGCCAGGCCTTTAGTCCTCTTCTTCCTCACAGATCTAGCACTATCAGCAGAACCTGCTGTGCTTTTTTTCACCCTTTCTACAGTGGTTCCCAAATTACTCTGTCTTCTTGCCCAAGCTTGTTTGCTTCTCCCAGACTGTCCTGAAGCGTAAAGGTTTCCTTGACCCATGTAAATCCTGTTACAGAGTCGTTCTGTTCTTCCATTGCAATGCAGTTTCCATTTCTACAGTCAGGCTGAATAGGTTATCATCTCACAAGCTTGGCTGTAATTGAAAAGAAAGTTTATAGCTTTGGGCTTAATAACTTGCTGAGGTGTGGCAGAAAGGGGAAGGTGAGTTTGTAACTCCACTAATGGCAGATTTCATGTCACGGCTTGCTGCTCAGTAGGTACAGCTGCTGGATTGTTGTTGAGGTAATACTCCCTTGCCTCTGGAGCTCAGGAAAATTCCCAGTGTTGTCAGGAAATATTCTGGGTTGAGCTGATGCAGAAAAAGGGATGGTAGCTCTCACTCTGAGTGTCTCAAGATGGTGATATCTGTTAAATCAAGAATGAGCAAGTTAAACTTACCTGTTTTGAGATGTGTTTTTCTCCTCTTACCTCGCAGGGAGTTTTTCCACTGTCATTTATCTTATTGTCTTGGAACTGCATGAAAAACTATGAACTTAATAGAGACATGAAGATTTTTCTTTTATCCTTCAGGAGAAGGGCAGAGCTTTCAGCAGCAGAAGCTTCTGGGTCTCTGGGTGATCATTGGCTTCCTGACCTTCCTGGTCCTAGAGAAGATCTTCCTAGAGAAAGAGGAGGAGTATCCTGGTGTGGTAAGTTAGCAGCCTGAGGGGAGGGAGTGCTCTTATATTTTGAATCTCTGTACTAAATACTTCATCTGCCCTATCTGACAGCGTCAGGAAATTATCCTGTAGCTGTGATTACCTTGTCTTTGCAATTTGAGAGATTTTGGCCACTTCTTTGCCACTAGTCTGTAGGAGTAGGTTTCATCTTCAGGCACTTCTTTTGTGGTTTTAACTGAGATTTCTCACTTCTGGTTTGGTTTTGTTCTTTATGTGGTAAGTGTAAAAGAGAGCTCCTGCTTTGTAGGGACTGGGAGCTGGAGCACTCTGCAAATGAGACTTTTGCTCAAGTAAGCTTTGAGAGGTGACAGCTTGCTGATGCATGTTCCACTGACCCATCATAATTCATTCCCTGGGTCCTCAGTCAGGACAAAGGCCAGCCTTCTTGAAGATGTTTCTTCTTGATTATGTTCTGGACCAGATATTTGTTTGGGTGAATTTGTGTGGTATAAGGGGTTTGTGATTGGCCAGGTAATCCTAAATTCAAAGGAGTCACCCAGCTGCAAAGGGGAGATGTAGATGAGGTAGCAGAAGGTAATTCCAAGACAGAGGAGAGTACCTAGTCTTCAGACACCTGCACAACTCCTAGTTGCAGCTCTTTTATACTGTTCAGTCCTTGCTGTGCCATGACTTTTGAGAGGTGAAACTGCAGGTCAGGCACTACATAAGAGCAATTAGGTGGTAACTTTGACTCAGTGTGAGACTTTAATGCCTGAAAGGAACTTCATCTCCTCATTTAGAGAGAAGCTGAAATCCTAGATAAATATTGTTATTTGGAAGCTGATGATCTCAGCTATAGAATAATTCTGTAGGCTTAGTTATTCTGATGCACTGGGGAGAGCAAGACTCTTTTCCCCCATCTCCTGCCCAGATGGAGTTGTATTTCTCTGGGCAGCAGCTGCTAACAGGAGGGGCAGGCTCAGTCTCTTACCTTTCTAGTGGAACCTGACTCATGCCAAGGGGCTGTGACTCCAATTCCTGCTCTTTCTATTTCTCTTGAGGACTGGCAGGTCTTAGCTCTTGTTGTCTTTCAGGGCAGATGTCACAATGCTCCCTGAATCTGTCTCATTTCTGGCACTTGTTATTACACTGGGGTGTCAAACCTGTGGAGTCACATTGAAAGGACAAGAGGATTAAGGGTGAAGGTTGAATTTCTGATCCTGATTCATGCTCGTTCATCACTGAAAAAAAATCAGTGACAAGTTTGTTCCCTCCGATTTAGGACTGTGATTCCAAAGCACCGTCTGGAAAGATTCCCAATGGAAGTGGCTGCCCCCTGCCAAAGGGATCCTCTCAGTCCCAAAGAACACGAGCTCAGTGTAATGGCTCCTCTCTCCAGTCTGGTCCAAAAAACAACAGAATCAAGGTAAGAGACCCACAAACTCACCTTCACTTTTTAGTCAGGAACTGTCTGTAGAAAGACTGTGCTTGAGTGGGGAACTCAGCATTTGAGTTGTGCTTAATTTTTCTCTGTCAAAGTGTGTCCTGGTCATGGCAGGGAGGAAATAGCAGGCTTGGAGAAAATCTACACTGCAGCTTATGTGGAAGAGGCAAAGTCAGTATTATAAAGGCATAAGTCTGATGTGTATTTTGGCTGAATTCTGATACCAAAATACAGAATTTCATGTTATGTTACTTTATATTTTATAGTCAATATGTCTTTATTTGCTTAATGTTTTGCACCATGACTTCTCTGTTCTCTACTGCCTGCATTGTACTGATTCTGAGCTGCACTTTTCCTTTTAAGGCACCTTCTGGAAGTGTTTTAACACCTTTAGAAAGTGTGTTGAAGCTACCCAGTGTCGAATTGAAAAGTTCACTCAGATTATCAGTTTACCTGCTGCTGAAAAGGACTTCTTGTCCACTTCTGTCTCCAGACCTGTATTTCCCATTGCTTCCTTTGCACTGGATCTCATCTGACCTCACAATGAGCCTATTCAGGGAGCTAAACAGGCAAAGAATTTGCTTGTCTACACCCACACACCCACCTCCCACCCCCTGGTCTATTTCTCTCCTGACTTAACTTCTTGAATCAGCTTGGCATGCAGACAGGCAGCCTGTAGTGCTGGGATAAGGGAGATAGCAGGCTCATAGGACTGGAGGTGGAGGAGGAAGAGTCCTGCACCATTGGGATGTGGATAACCTTTACATTGGCTTTGGTTTCTGTTCAATGTTACTATCTTTGTACTGTGGAAAACCCTTTTCTGGGTGAACATTGCAAGTGAGAGAGTAAACAACCACATTGGTGAAGGAGGACCTGCAATTTGAGTTTGAAAGCCAATAAAAATGTACAAGATTGTATGAGATTAGCTATGGGCAGAAAGTGTGCTTGCATGAGCTAGCCCAAAGCTGGATGTGTGGTCAGGCAGAGGCTCTACAGTTTTTCTATTTTAAATCTGTTTTACTGTAACTTTATAGCTCTTTCTGCAGAACATGAAAGTTATGCTGAGGTCACTGAGTAATTTTGACATTTGTCACATTCATGTAATTTGTACATAACACTGCACAAACTGCAAGGTACCACATGGATGTTTCCAAAGGTGGTAGTAGTGAAGACACCAATATTACTGGGTTATGAAACACTGTGCCCTAATTTTGGAAGGGTTTATATAAGGGACTAGAGACTACTAATTTCAAGTAGAAATGAAACACTGATAGGTGATACAGTTGTTCAGGGCACGGTCCTAATATAAAAAATAAAAGTGTAATTATTGCTAATTGATATGATTTTATGTAAGATAAATTCTTATCAACCAGACATTTTTCCTGTCTCTTATTCAGGCATAAAATTGTTTAATGAAGGTCATGACAAATGTATATAAAACATAACTTTCTCATTCTAATTGACTTTGCTAATATTAGCTATATTAAAAATCTGTTATTCTGTGTTATCAAAAGGGACTGGTTTATTGCAGCCCCCCTCAAATTTGTTCACTGGTGGGTTATGATTTTTCTAAGTCATTATTTAAAAAACAGCATATCTTCACATTTGCAGGTACTGAGTTACATAAATGGCACATTGTGACTGCATGAAGTCAGCGATAACAGCTAAACTGAGTAACTTCATCAAAAGTGCTCTGAATTTTTAACAGGTTTTGATACATGCAATTATAAGGAGTAGATTAAGAAGGACTGAAGAGCACATTTACAAGACAGGGATAGTTTCTAGTTAGTCAATGCCTTGGAAAAACATGAGGATTACAGTAGGAAATTGTCTGAACACATTTTTCCCTCATGGTGCTACAGCCAGGATGGGTGAGTAGGAAATAATATGTAAGAGGAGAGGTGAGAGTTCCTCTTTCTGTAGAGCAGTAGTAAAACAGCTATCTGAATTTTTCCACTAGTGCTATTCCAAATATCCAAAAAAATGTTGATAATTTGTAAAGGAGCCTGGAAATGGATGAAATAGTGTTTTGAGTTTGCAGTACACAAGAAGTGGCTTTCTTTAGTTTAGCTCTGTAGTCTTGACAGATCAAGGGTGACTTGGAATATAAAAATACCCATGTAAGAGGAACAACTAAATTTGAATAGTTACAGCTATAGCAAAATAGCTGACTAGAACTTAGAGACAACTCTCTAACTGAGTGTAACTTGCCAATGGACCAACTTGCCTTAGAGATAGCAGATTTTTGGTCACTTTTGAACTGTAAGCTGTGGTTTAAGCTGCTCTATACAGAGTACATGATAGCTTAATAAACAATGATCTTTGTGCACAAATGCACTTAAATTCTTTCAGTTGTGTTACATGGAAGGTTTAGACAACCACAGAGAGCCCTTCTAGCTTTAAAATCCTAACACATCTGTTCAGTTTTACAGAGGGTTGTCGTTATACATGAATCAGAAACTAAAGATTTAATGGATGTAGTTTTAACTTTCTACCTTCTGATCTTATAATCTGAGTATTTTAATAGTCTTCCTGGTAGGGTGGAAATTATCAAATCTACCGAGATACTCCTGCGTTGTTAGCCTGTTTCCTTAGGCAACAACATAAGCAGTCATTCCATCTGTCTGTCCATCTGTTCTGCCCTTCATTTTCAATAACTTTTGAACCCATAATTAATTTCCCTTGAGTTCAGGAGAGGATGGGAGTCTTGAGGGTGATCAGATTTCTGCAAGTTCCATAAAAATCAGTGTGACAGTAGAGAAGGAATGCAAAGGGATGCCCTGTTGAGCTCAGTGCCAAGTGCTGCCCAGCAGATACGCCTGGCTGCAGCTGGGTGGCGGGGGGTCCCACTGGGCAGGGGGGTCCCACTGGGCATGGGAGGGTCCCACTGGGCATGGGAGGGTCCCACTGGCCTGGCCTCCTGGGGACAGGGCTGCCGTGCCATGTGTGCTGGGCAGGGCAGGTGCAGGGAAGTTGTGTTGCTGGGAATGAACAGAGTAGGTGCTTGTGAAGGAAAGAGTGAAATCCATAGCATGACAGATTTTTTTGGTTCTTCTATTCACTCAGAAACCCCTATTTTTTCAGCAAACAAAAAGGGAAAAATACTATATAAATGAACATAGTCACCCTTCAGGACTTAAAGATTAGTAAGTGGTAGTGAGTTGGCTGTTATCCACTTATTAGAACTTCTGCTTTTTAGTTGCTGATAGAATTTGTCCTAGCTTGAAAACGGCAGGTGGGAGGTTTCATTTGCCTGCAAGCATAGATCAGTTCTGTCCCTCACTGCAGCCTTTATTCCCTCAGCAAGTAAAAAGGTTGTATACTGTACTTTTGCCTTGCTTATTCTTTTTTTCTTTCTTTCTTTCTTTCTCCCTGTGGCACATGGGGTCCTGGTTGATTTGTGGAAGTATGTTTTATTACACAGTGACATTAATTCTGAAGCATGAACATAAACACATCATCTGGCTGTGCTCTTTATGAGCAACGAGAACATCCTATTAGGGATTTGCAGAATGTAAATGTCAGAAGCTCATAACTGTCAAATCAACCCAATTTATTTCTGAGCACTCCAAAGCTTTGCTTCTTTCAGTGACAGCTTTTGCCCAAGCCACTGACAACAAAAAGTCATAATGTTTTAATCATGAAGTCTATTTTTTCCCTATATGGTGGTATGGGAAAGCATTTTTGTGTAAAACTTCTGTGAATAATTATTATTATCCTGTGGGGAAAACGCCGTCACATAAAAAAACAGCATGAAAAGGAGAATTTTAGTCATATTTGACTGTCTAGGAATGAGAGTATGAAGAATGAGAAGTAAAACTGTTGCATTTTTAGGTCTGCCTGCATGCATCTGTTTGGGTTTCCTTTCTTGTAAAAACATGCAGGGATCTTCTTTTGCATTCATTGTGGAGCTGTTACTTAGATTATTACTCAAAAGTGGTCTAGGCTTTGCTTAATTCCTAATTTTCATATTTAATCATCAGTGCACTTTAAAAAAATTTAGAGGCTACAAAGGTGCCCCAAGATATTGCAATAAAAGTGCCCTGCAGAAAGGTGGTGCTTTGGAGAGAGAGATTTGACAGAAGGCTCCTGAGCTGTGGCATACAAATGACAGAAAGCTGCCCCAAGCAGAGTTGATAAAAACAGGGAAGAGCACCAAACCAAAAAGAGCTGATGAAGTCCATCAGCATTTGTGGTTGTCCAGCTGAACTTTGGCATCTGATGCTGTGGTGAATGCTTCACAGTTTCCAGTCTCTCCTGTCACTGGACACTGCCCTGTATCTGGAGTTCTTGCAGTGCAGAGACAGCCTGATATATGTGCTAACACCTGGTTTGATAGTAATTTAAACTGAAGTGCCATATAGTGAACTGCAGTATCTCAGGACCAACATGCAGTAGTTTTTGTTAAATATGATGGAAAAAACCCCAAAAACCTGTGAGCTGAAGAGCTGGGGTGGTACCCTCACAAATTACTTTAGCTCAAATACTCAGATTTTGTCAGGAGATGACTCTAGTTGGAATGATAGGGAATTTTAACATGGAGATGGACTTGTGAGGAAGGCAGCAGCTTTATGCTTATAATTTTAAGAAATGTGTTTATATGCAAATGATGATACATGCTATCCAGCCTTCTAGTAGGTGGTTTTTTGGTGACTGTCATCACTATCTTCTCTTTTGATTCTTTGTTAAAGGAAAGCAAACCCACAAGCACGAACTTTTTTGGTACAATGTTTGAGGATTTATTTAGTTATAGAAAGCAATTCCAGCAGCATTTGTTCTGTTGCATTGTTCTTGCCAGCTTTTGAAAAGGAGATATTTAACAATTGGATATTAAAGTACATGACTTGAAAACAAGATCAAGTCATATTGGAAGCCAGTCACCTGTGTAGATTAGTCAGTGTTACCTAAAGCTGGTTTGGCTTAGAATTAAATATATTCTTGTGTTTTGGCTTTCTTCTTTTCCCTTTCTTTTTCAGTTTCTAGAGCTCTTCATCATATGTATACCATAATTTTTCTAATCTCAGAAATACTTGCCTACCCTAAAACTTAGTTTACTCTAAAACCAAAAATTACATTTAATTTGTACTCAAGCTGTGACATAGATTAAGATTTTCAGCAGAAGCATTGTGTTCTGTCCTTTCCCATCTGATTGTGACTGCATAACCCATGTCTAAGCTGTGTGCTTTCTTTTATTTTCTTACATCTCTTCCTTTATCAGGGACTCTTCCTTCTCTTTGCAGATCAGTGGATACCTCAATCTGCTGGCCAACACCATTGATAATTTCACACACGGCCTGGCAGTAGCAGCCAGCTTCCTGGTTAGCAGAAAGGTAAGGTTTCTGTCCCCAGCTGTGTATTTAAATGTACAGGCCTTGTCTCAAGTGTCATACAACATGCAAAACAGCCAAAAATTGCAAGGAGTTCCTTCCTATTTGCTGGAATTTTCTGAGAAAATGCAGGCTACACTAAAACCCAACTCTCTCCTGATCCCCTGATGCAGAGCTTCTTCGAATTTGGGACATGTTAGTCATTTGTACTGGCATTAGGGGATGGATTAGCTCATCTACCCTCATCTACTCAAAAGGCAGTCCAGAAATAACACGATGAGGACGGTCACCTTAGAAACTGGAATACAGACAAGACAGAGATGTTTATTGCATTTTTGCTTTGGTCTTCAGTACTGCTAATGGGCTATGGGGTCCACATTGCCCTGAGCTGGAGCACCATGACTGTGGGAATGATAAACTCACAGTCAACCCTGCACTCATGTGGGATCTGCTGCTCCAGCTGGATCCCTGTAAGTGTATGGAACCTGATGGGATTCATCCAAGAATACTGGGATTGTTTGCTAATTGCTTTCTCTCTGCTGCAGGTTGGGTTCCTAACCACAATGGCCATTCTCCTGCATGAAATCCCACACGAGGTGAGAGAGTTTGTATCCTACCATCGTGAGGGGAATTAGAATGTGCTTCATCTGCTAAGAGGAGGTCTGGGTCTGCCCTCTGGGGAGATTGACAACATGGAAAACCAGGAACAGTCTTGAAGCACTGGCCTTGTGAATGGCCTTTGTGACTGAGAATGTAGTATTCAAGTTTATTAACTGTCAGCCCCTGTTTTTCTTAGGTTGGAGACTTTGCAATCCTACTTCGGGCTGGCTTTGACCGCTGGAGTGCAGCCAAGATGCAGCTTTCCACAGCTCTGGGGGGAATTCTAGGAGCCTGCTTTGCAATATGTGCTCAGTCACCAAAAGGAGCAGGTATGGTTCCCTAGGACCCCTGTCGAAATGGGAGGGGAGGCAGTGCTTGTCATCCTTGTGTTATCTTCTTTCCCTTCTGTGCTGTCTCCCATGGCTCTGTCTCAGTAATAACCAAAGTTTTCTGTATTTGTGCAGGAGAAACAGTAGCCTGGATCCTCCCTTTCACTTCTGGAGGATTTCTGTACATTGCCTTGGTAAATGTTGTGCCTGATCTCCTGGAGGAAAAGAATCCTTGGTAAGTGCTCACTCCTGTTCCTCTGCAGCAATTTGTGCTGCCAGGGGACAGGGATATAACCCTTTTCTGTGCCTCTTCTGGAAGTTTGTGAATGCCAGCTTCCCAAATCCCAAGGCTGGACTCAAACTGCTGTGCTATCTATTGCATTTGTGGGACTGCAAATATGCTCTGTAACATGAGAGCTATCACCTGGGTGAGTCCTAGAGATTGTGCTTGCACAGTATGCAGCAGGGCCAGCCAGAGCAAGTTCCTGGGAAACATGTCCAGTAAGGAACCACTGCCCAGTCTGTTGAGCTTCCAGGATGCACTGGTGTAGGTAGTCTCTGAACCAGGGCCCCACAGAGGTGTGTATGTCTGATAACCACATGTGACTCTATCCTTCCATGCTTCTCTCATCCCTTTCTGACCCTGTCCATTAATCTGGGCCTCTGCAACCTCCTTTTGGCAGCAGTTTGCAGAGTTTGACTGTACTGTTACGTGAGGCTTCTTATTATTTGGTTTTTACACTCTTGCTTATTGATTTTTTTTATTAGGTATCACTGTGTTGCTGTGTGAGTAGAAAAATAATAGTTTTCTTCTCTTTATCACTCAGCATTTCATAGTCTGTCATTGTATTCCACCTCAGACATCTCTCTTCTGCACTGGTATATATATTCCAATATTTGGGTTTCCCTCATGTATTATTTTAGTTTCTTGCAGTCTAATTAAGGCTGTAGCAGGTCCAAATCCAGCTGTTGCACAGTAAAGGCCCTCTCATATCTGCTGGCAGACCTGCCCCTGAATGTTCCCTCCTATTTTAGTTGTAATTAGACAAGTAACTTTACTAGTTTAAATGAGATGCCTTGGTTTACCTAGTTAATTTTGACTGAAACAGGGCTCAAAAAAACCATCTCCGCAGTTCTATCTGAGGAGGTAGGAACTTTTTGTGGAGAAATGTTAATTTGGGTTGGTAACCTCTTGTGTTGGCAGAGGTTGTTGGCAGAATATACAGAAGTGGGAGGCACACAGTCACTTCAATCCAGCAAAAACCTGAGATAGTGCTAAAAGAATGGCCAAATGTATTGTTGTTTTTTTTTTCTGGAACTGTGGTTGTTAGCTGGATGAGGTCCCTAAAGTGTCTGTGCACATGCTGCATGAGTGCTGGCTTCCTCGTGAGTGAAAGGACATGAATATGTATCTGAATAGCTGCAGGACTGAATCAGCTTGAGTTGGTTTGGAAGCCTGGAGTTGGGCCTTGCAGCTGAGTAGAACAAGTCCATGCCAGTTTATGGACAACTTCTCTGCTTGGGGTGCTGGGAAGGTATTTCCTCATCTGTGTTAGTGACCATACAGCTGTTGTGTTCTCCACGTGGTAGATTCGGGAGGGCAAAGAAGAGATGGTTGGGGAGCTCTGTGCAGCTGCCTGTGGGGATTGGTCTATGGCTCCTCCTAATTTTGCCGTTTCTTTCCCAGGAATTCCCTGCAGCAAATTCTGCTCCTGTGTACGGGCATTACAGTCATGGTGCTACTCACGCTCACAACTGAGTGACCTCTGCACAGACCTCGTGATGCCTCCCAGAGCCACCACGGTGACTCTGAGCTTTACAAAGCAATAAGGAACACTAATGTTACTGCTAAGTGTGTGTGTGCAGATCTGGCTGCTAGTATGAGAAGCAGGTGAGAGAGAGGTCTGGCTGTGCAAGACTTCATTCCCTGGCTCTCCTATCCCTGTTCTGCTAAAATCCACACATGAGGGCTTCTGTTCTTTTTTTTTTTTTTTTTTTTTGGTTGGTTGGTTTTTATGGAGCAAAAGATACACTGGGCAGAAATGAACTGAACAACTGCTCCACTATGAGTGAATGGTGTTTTATTCGGTTCATTCCGATGGAACTGCACCTCCCAAGCTCTTGTGTGAAAACAACAGAGGTGATTCCTGTAGCTGATGAAGATAAAGGATTTTTCCTACCACTTTAAGGGCTGGAGGCAGAACAGGCATGACAAAGCAACAATAAACAGCTTTAGCCAGAACCCCCTACCCATGAGAAGTTGATGGTGCTATGAGATAGAAGGGAAGAGACCCTTTCCAACTTGATCTCCAGCTGTTCATTGACACCACTTGTTCCTAAAGGTAGTATTGGCCTCAGCAGTCCAGCTCTTTTGGTCTATTTTGTTTACATTGAAATTGAGCCAAAAGCTTGAGGCACTTTAGGGTAGGTCACTACAATTAAATGGCTTGGCTTGGAGATTACTTGCCTCAGCCCTAACCACACCAGTAGCCAGCACAGCCCAACTGTTTATCTGACAAATGATCAGTAAATGTTTCTTCAATTGCCAACTACCAGCTCACATCTGGAGGGAAAGCCATGTAGCTGTTGTGACTGAGCTCCATCTCCTCATAACCATTAGCTGAAAGCTCCTCTGAGCCTGCTCATGAGACTTGATTCATGCACTATCTGCCCCACACTGTATTTCAGAGCCTTCTTGAGGTGTAGCATGTTAGAGCTGCCCAGCATGCTACAGCAACCCTAGACTGTCATGGCAGAGGTGCTTGAACACTACAGCCTGGTCAGCAACTGATAACTCCTGGTTAGCTTTTCCTTTGTTCAGTGTCGACTATTTAAGAGCTTGTAGATGGTAGCCTATTTTTGGAGTTCTTACCTCACAGTGGAGTTCATCTGTTGAGGATGAATGAATAAGAAATAATACTGACAGCTTTTAGATGGGAAGGTTGAAACTGCTGGTGAAAATATTTTAAAGTAAGGTGAGAAAGGGATATGAAAGAGTGACAATCAGTATGCTTTAAGAGTTTTCCATTACGTGATGCTTGGGATAAAATTTTTGGCAATTTGAGACCAATAAAAATAAATAAAATTTCTAGTGCTTTTCTCCATCCCAGCTCACAGGGCTGACCAGGCCAGAATTCCACAGGGATGTTCTATTGCCACAGAGATGTACACAATTACTAGATCATCCCTTCTGTAGAACTTAACTTTGCTGTGCTTAAATTAGTTTAAAAACAGGTCTAATAGAACTAGGGGAGCCACTGAACAAAAAACAGCTGCCACAGTGTGATTTACACCAACTTAGCTCAGTCTTTTAACAGCTTTTGTGAAGCAGTACAGCTCTCCAGTCTGCCCAGGGCCTTACCAAGAGGGCTTGTACCTTGAGAGGGCGATTTGGGTCAGAGCAGCAAGGCAGGTATGCTGCCCACAGCAGAGGCATTACTTCTCTAAGAGATTCCTGAACTGTTGACACAGTTCTTTTTTATGACAGCTCCTGTCCTACTTTTCAGTGAGTGCTGGAAAGCTCATGCTTGCAGTTCTGTCTGCCCAGGAACTGCTGTCTGAAATTTTTTCCCTGGACTTACATCAGTAACTAGTTTCACTGCAACAAGAAGGGAGGCTTAGTGCAATTGTTTATTCCTCTTTACAAAATTACCTTCCTGTGCCAACTACTCTCTCCATCATTCAATTGTCGTGAGGTCTGAAGGTAGCATCCACTTCCTGCTTTCCTGGAAGGATGATTAATCCAGTTAGCCTGCAGGGACTGGGGGAGTATGCCAACCCTCTGGTTCTAGCTTTGGGGGTTCCTTCTGCCCAGGGACTGCAGCTAAGCAGACCGTGTAACAGGGCTCTGGAGGAAGCAGGCTTGCACAGAAAGTTGTGCCTGCTGTTTCTCAAGATGTCTTTCCCAAAATAAGGCTGGCATTTAAGTTGAGGCATTGCCAGGTGAGTGCCCATGAGTTGGCGTTGTTGCATCAGCACTGAGCCTTGCCAAGACTGAAAGCCACAGTCAGGATTTTATACTCAGCGTTCAGGAATGTGAAGTGGATGACACTGAAGAAAGAATTTCTGAGCTGTTTTTCTTGGCTGCTATCACAGGCATGGATATAGTCTGTGGTTCTTGGGAAGATACCCTGGTAGGAGGTAGCATGGGGCTTGTGGGAGGGAGGGGTTCAATAGATTTCTACTGCGTCAGCCCCGGGGCTGAGGATTGAGAGCCTTGGGAGGAAATGGAGCATCACTCCACCACATTTGTCACTTTTGGAAATGCAGAGAGAATTGTATTTTCTAGCTCTATTTTTTCAGCTGCTCTTATGCATTTTCCCCCTTCATCTGTATTGGTCTGCTCTGCATGGAGACAATAGAGATGAAATAAATGGTTTTCCATGTCAGTTTGTGTTACTGGGTTATTTTGTTTGGTTGGTTTGGGCTTTATTCGAAGTTCCTACTTTCCTTTGATTTAAAAATTAAATTCAGATTTCATTTGAATTACAGATACATATCTCTGAGTTATCTGGTCTAGATCAGTCTGGACCCTGGGCTGCTGTCAGACTTTCACAGTTGAAATGAAAGTTCTATTCTTCTTTCTGCTGCCATGGAACTGTTGTCCAGGAGCAGTGTGGTAGAATCGTAATTCTTGACTGCTGCTCTGGGTTCCCTGAAAAGCATCACCAAGTAAGTTTCTCCTCTTTCAGGGGAAAGCTTACATGGTAACTTTACTGTTCAGAGAGTTTTGTAATCATACTTGACTGTAATCAGTTATTTTTTTAAATCAAAAAGACCTCAAGGCCTGTCTGGTTTCAGTTAACACTGAGCTGGATACCTGCCATGTAGGACAAAGGTGCAGTCATCAGAAGCTGTGTGTTCCAATTGCCAAGAAAAGACTAAAAGGAAATCCTCTACCCTTCAAAAACATGGGTTCAGAAAATGTCTTATTTCACCCCTCATTTGGAAGATTTTCAGCTATAAATGGTGCATTTATATCTCTTCTTACCCAAAGTTTTCTGTAAAAAGAAGGAAAACCATAACCCAAGAGCTGGAAGAAGATGAAGACAGGTAAGTGATCAAGGACATGATGTCACAGTCTGTGGATTTTGCCAGTAATCTATATTTCGGAATCTCTTTCCTTGGATTTACCACATTGTGCTCTTGGGCTGTGCTGGTACACCTGCCCTTAGGGCTGTACTATGAGCCTCTCTCTCTCATCCCTTTTTTCTTCTCAAAAGTCAAATTTATCATTAATTAATCAGCTATCTGTTTCACAGGCTCTGGGAAGAATGGCTCTGGCACAATTGCAGTAGCAGAGAAAGGAGAACAATTAGAGTTTCATTCATGGGAACTTTCTAAAATGATGGTGGTGTTGAAGCCCCTGTCTTCTGAAACTAACCTGAGGAGCTCACGTGTAGAGTAGGGTGACATAATGGGATTGCAGACTCAGGAAATGTGAATATTTGGATCTTCCTGGGAAAGAGCTATTACAATTGAAGGATTTTTCCATGTTAGCTAGAGCAGTGATTGTATTTTAAAATTATTTTTCATTCTTGCTGTGGAAGACTTAATTTAGCTGGTATGTGTAAGGAGATTCTTTTACCAGCGGCCCTTTCAATTTGTCTGCCTTGAAGGCACTAGTGTGCAGCTGCATGGATGGTAATCCCATCTGTCCAGTGCAAACTGCGGAACAGCATCATCCAGAAATGTGGTTAGAACAAGCTTTAGCTGTGGCTGCTGCATGTTTCCTCCAGGCAGAGTGCTCAGGGGAGATAAGCAGTACTCTGTTCTGGGCAGCGTTGCTGGGAGAAGTGCTGGGGAGGGTGTTTAGGTTGTGCTCGGTGTGGCCAAGAGACCAAGAAGTGGCAAGGGGAAATGATCAGAATCTCCTACAATTGAGCATTTTCTCCTGGGAACCAATTAAAACTACTTTTAAAAAGCTCGGGATTTCAAAACTGGACATTAAATTAGTAGTTTAGGCATAGCATATCACTAGTTCATTTTATCTGGGGGCCAGAATTGATGAGACAATGCCCTAATAACTGGCTTTGGGGACTGACTGATAGTGCTGCAGCTGGAGGAACAAATCCTATACAACGAGCGGGATCAGAAGGGATTTTGTGCCCCTATAAAATGCTACATTAACTAATGGCTTGGATTTAATCTGCTTTTCATTGTATAAAATAGATGGACATTTTTCAGCTTTTTCAGGCCTTATTTTCCATTAACTGATAATGAAGAGTGGAGGAGAAGTCATAATCCAAATGCCAACAAATGATGAGGCGGGTGGTGGTTGCATTCCGTGTACATTTGAAAAACTGCTGGCTCCCGCGGCCTGAGCAGGGCTGGTCTCTGCCCTTCTGCCCTGGGCAAGCCAGAGGAGGCTGCGGCGAGGCTCGGAGGGTCCGCTCACCCGTTCCTCCGGCCATCCATCCATCCATCCCCGGTAGCGGCACCCCCGCCCCGCCTTGTACAGGGGCTCGGCCAAGGGCGGGGCCCTGTGTCCGCAGAGCAGGAGCCGGGCGGCGCGGCCCGGGGATCCCCGTGCGGCCGTGCCCGTGCGATGCCGCGCTAGGGCCCGGGCCCGGCGCGGGGGGCGCGGGCCCCGTGTCCCTTCCGGGGGCGGTGCCGCGGGCGGCGGCCCCAGCCGGGCTGCAGGGAAGCGCCCGCCCCTGCCGCCCCCGGCGCGGTAAGATGGCGGCCGCGGCTCAGGCGCTGAGCGGCACCGGGCTGCTCCTGGCCGCCGCCGCCCTCGCCCTCCTGGCCGTGGCCATCGGCACCGACTCCTGGTACGAGACAGACGCGAGGCGGCACCGCGAGCGCTGCCGCGGCTTCGGCCACAAGCGCAGCGACCCGCCCGGCTCCATGTCGGCGCCCAGCTCGCACCTGCCGCTCCGCGCCCGACCCCCGCGGGCGCTCCTGCCCGGGCGCCCCCCGGCCCCCGCGCCGGCCGCCGCCGCTTCCGCCGCGCTGGACTCGCACTGCGGCCGCCGCTTCAACTCCACCGTCTCGGGGCTCTGGAGGCGCTGCCACCGCGCGGGCTACGAGCCGGACAGCGAGGAGCTCATCCGGAAAGGTGCGGGGGCGGGGGGCGCGGCGGCGGCCCCGCCGCTGTCCGTGGTGCTGAGCGCGGTGCCACCGGGGCTGCGGGCGGGGCGGCGACCGCCGCCTCTGCCGGGGCGAGACCGGGCCGGAGGGCGGGCGCGGACGGAGCCCCACGGAGCCGTGGCTCCCGGTGTCCCTGGCGTGCGGGGAGCG